ATCCATTATCTTTACCCGTTTATTCCATTTTGGGTCACGGGGGTCGCCGGTGCCCATGTCCAGCAATCACTGTGCGAGGGGCAGGGTACACCCTGGACAGGTCGTAAGTCTATCACAGGGACACATAGAGACAAACGAGACAAACAACCATTCACTCTCTCACTCACACCTAGGGACAATTTAGAGTTACCAATCAGAACTCTTACAGCGACCTCGAGAGCATCTATGAACATTGCTGACCGCTCTTGTCTCCTCTGTCTGCAGAATGTCTACGTCACTATGTGCTGTTTGTGCGAGGTGTTTTTTTGTTTTTTTAATATTAGAGGTTTTTATTTCTCAGGCAGGGAAAAAAAAAAAAAAAAAAAGTCTGATAGGGATTTTTTTTTGCCTCCAACTCCTATATGTGTCCAGTTAACCACTGCTTTTGTCTGTCCAAACAGGTCTCACTTGTAAATGAGTCTTCGAGGCTCAATGTGATTTATCAGTTTAAAAAAACGTTGAATGAATAGAGACAAAATTAACTAAAGGGCATCCTACAATTAGCATCACAGGTGTCCTCAATTGTAATCAGTCAGGCTGTCTTTTAAAGGGTAAAAGTAGTCACAGTGCTGTTTGGCATCATGGTGTGTATGACATGACTGATAATCATCAGTGTCAAGAGTTCATCCGGCTCCATTTGAGCCACTTGAAGAAAACCAAGGAGGATATCAAATTATAAAAAAGGAAAATTGGAATTTGCCAAAATGCAAATAGACTCCAAAGCTTCTTCAAGAATCCTTAAAGAAACATACAAAGAACATGGTACTTACAGTGAAACACGGAGGCGGCTTTGCTGCATCCAGCTCAGTGTGTCTTGGCTCTGTGCAGGATGCAATGAAATCTCAAGACTATCAAGGCCTTCTGGAATGATATATGCTGCCATGGATCAAGAAAACTTGGTCTCAGTGGCAAATTTATGAGCCGTCCAACAAGATCATGACCCAAATATAGCGTAAAAACCCAAGACTGGTAAAAAAAACAAAACAAAACAAAAATAAATTATTCTAAAGTGACCTTCTGAGTCCTGATCTAAATATGTTAAAGTTGTGCAACACACCATCCTTCTAGTGAAGATCAGATTTATTAGTTTTTAAAATTAAAATGCTGAACTTCAATTCTAAAGCAATAGCTGACTTTCATTAGTTTATTTATTTATTGTCATTTCAGTGACTTTTGTGTAGTTTTCTGTCTTTAACGAGAGGGTACAAATAAATTAATCAGCATCAGAAAAAAAAGAAGTAAATTCCTCCTAAAGCACATTTTAATCTTATTCCATAAAAAAAAAGTTAACTTTGAACATTAAGCCTTTAAAATACAAATCAAAACATTATTTCCTCAGATCAAAAGATTTATTAATTTTTTTACATTTAATTTACATTCATATTAGTATGATCAAATCTTGTACAGTAAACACTGTCGATGAGTGGTTTTTATACTATTACACTGTCAAAAATAATTAAAATGGAATTTCAAGCATCAATTTGTTATTTATGTTTGTTGCTCCCGTTTTTTTTTTACAAAATGTCAGAAAACGAAACGGAAACAACTTCACTTCTGCCTTGTAAAGGGGAAAAAGTAAAGTTAGACATAAAACTACTGAATAACAGAGTAACACAGCAACGACAGACGGGATATATATTGTATTTTTGTAAAAGTACATTCTTAACATTTGATGTTTTGGAATGAAAACAGCAACGAAGGCTCACCGTGATCAACCATTCAACACATTCTGCCTATATATTAAATTAATATTTCAACTTGTGCCATCAAAATGTAAGAATACATCAACCCGCAACTCTTCCTTAAAACATAAGCATAAATAAGAAAATAAGCAATTTCATTGGTCCATGAGGTAAGATGTGAAAGCAAAGGAAAAAATAAAAAGTCGGAAGGAGTTTGGATAAGACAACATATAACAAAAGTGAGAGAGGCTTAAAGAATGAAAGGTGATTGCAAGCAAGAGAACATGATGCCCAACAAAGTTGCACTGTCTATGACAACTTCACACACACACACAGTCACATTCACACAATCCAGTCTGAGATTTAATGTCAAAATAAATCCCAAGGCTGGAATCATTACAAAGCCACTTGATGGATCATGATATATTTTTTGTATTTACACTGAAGTGATATTTAAGCTCCAAACGCATATTGTGAGGAAACAAAAACTCAAAACCATGAGAACCCGGATGGAATCAGCCCACTGAACTGTGCCCAGGAGGCAGGAACCAAAAGACTGAATGGGATTCATAATGATGATGACGATGACGAAGCTTAAAAGCAAAGAGCAGCTTTAACTGGGCAGACGAGTAGTTTACCAGCCAGTATAATCAAACAGGCAGCCTCTTTACCATCCCTGCTACTAGAAAAAGAGCACTTCAATAAAAGGCTCAAAGGATGCCTCTGGCTAAAAACGAAAACCATCCATGTTGTTCGAGGTTTGGTGTAAAGGAGCATGCAGTGAGCTACACAGTGTAGATTGAAGAGCACTTCAAAAACAACAACAGACTGACTGGATTGATTTGGAGTCTCCAAAACAAGTTTCCTTTGATCCGAGGAGTGTGCAGCAGAAACTGGAAGGAAAAAAGCAGCACTAGTAGTGTTCAGTAGTGACTCTGCAGAGGAGCAACCAAGTGGTGACCTGGAAATGTCCAGCAGAACTTTGAAATAATACGTTCCAAAAAGATCCCTTTTCTTCTTTTGTCTCAGTATTCGTGTTATTTTTTTCTAAAATGCATCAGTTATGTTTGTTTCATTGAAGGCAATCAAGCCTAAAATTTTCTAATGGCATTTTGCAAGCTTTCAATTGGCACTCAGCCAGGTTATTTTTAATTTACTTGTAAACTGCACGACTGGCTGTTTCCAAACATGCAGTGCACAAAGGAAACACTTACTGCCAAAAACCTAAACCTGATCAGCGCCTGATTCATATTGGGACATTTTGTTTTTTATAATCACCCTGTTTCCTTTAGTCTTTTTTTTTTTTTTTTTAATTATTCAGTGTGATTGTCACCCAGTACTCCCTCCCGATATTTGCAGCACCTCTCAGGCAGTCGCACAGGTAGGCAGTGAGTTTAAGAACAATCGCAATGTTTATTAAACTGGTTATTGACGAACCAGTGAGGATATTTTCATCTGAGCCCGACATGAGACAAAGGGCTTTTATTTCCTTTACTGTAGAAACAGAACAAGGTAAAGCAGGAGCAAGGGAATAGTAGAGAGGACACCTCTCAGAGGTTCTGTGCCCTTAATGGCCCAATGTGGGCTCAGTCCTGTCCAATCTGGCCCAGTTTAACCCTTGTTTGGTTAGGCCAAATCCAGTCCAGCGTGGTCTGGTTTGGTATGGGTTTGGTCCAGGCCAGGATTTTAGAAGAGTGCTTTGGATCCCTGGTTCTCAAATTCTGACCAGGCGTCGTTTAGCTCCATGAAGATCATTTTAGCGTACTGTTCATACGGCTGACCCGTAGCCTGCAGAGACAGAGACAACATGGTTTTGTAGACACAGTTTCAGGAAGGTTCAACCTGGTTTAACACAAAAACATGATCCTGTACCTTATCTGGATGGACGACGAGCACAGCCTTTCTGTAGAACTTCTTGACCTGATCAGGCGTTACAAGGTCAGCCATGTTCACAGGCCTCCAGCGGGTTTCCCCCTCCCACAAGACGGTGTGCAGAGTTGACAGCAGTGCTCTGATGTTTCGCTCCTTACCCTCGATCCAGTCCAAGATCTGCATTGTCAGAATACATTAGCATGAACACCACAAGCACCTGCCAGTTTGGTGACCACGAGTCACCTTTTTGAGCATCTAGTTTTCATTTTTTTTTATTGATCAAGCCTCTAAGTCAGGTGATTTACTCAAAGGTCTAATTTAAATCAGTACTTTCAATCTTTTTTGAATCCAGGAAAGATTCACTACAAACAATTATTCTTTCAAGAACACACGCTGAAGGAGTTTTGAGTGTTATGTCTAATGTGTGTATTTACTTGTAATTTAAGAGGATCCATGTCTTTTGAGATCTCCTGTTTCCTCATTTCAGCAATGGTCCTCGGTCCCCTTCTGTCTGGCCTGGATGCAAAACCCTGAGTGGAGAGCAGGTCCTCAAAATCATCCTCTTTAACCTTCGGTTTGGGTCCTGTGTAGAATAAGTAAAAATAAATGAAAGTCTACCATTGATATAAAAAAATGCAGACAAGTTCAGTTAATACATAACTATGAAGACAATTGAGAGAAAAAAAACAAACAAACATTATTTCATACCAATAGCCAACCATAGCCATAACTTCAAACATAACTTTTCTTACCAAATCCAGGTCCACGAACTCCTCTTTCCTCTCTCCCACCGATGACACTGGAGAAGGTGAGGTTGTAGTTGGGCTTAGTGGGCGGTGCCCCAGCAGGCTGAGGTGCTGAGGATCCTTTGGGTGTTGATCCAGATCCTGACATCCAAGGTTTGTTCTGGGCAGAGTTGGGTTTTCCAGCCTGCCAGGCCTGGGCTTGAGGCTTAGAGGAGGGAGTGGAGGAAGATGGAGTCTTTGTGCTTAAGGAAGGTCCAGAAAAATTACTGCTGGATGAACCTGCAAAAACAATAATAATAAAAAAAACATTAAAAAAATTAATGCTTAGAAAATTAATATACTAAAATCAGCATTTTCCCTTTTCCTTTGGTGCACAGCAAAGCACAAGTAACTTCATATCAGGCAAAACATCTTTACCTGGTAAATTAGAACCCAGATTTCCAAGTTCTGCAAAAGGATCAAAGGTCTGAGACTTGGCCTTTGACATGGATGACGAAGCTGCAAACACAGTGATGATAAAGTCCAAATGTTACAGAAATACATTAAAGATTGCCACATAACTCAATTTACAGGATAACAAAAACATCTACGTAATCCCCAATGTTCCTTCACCCACCTGTGTTGGTAGAACTGGGTTTGCTGTTCGTGGTGTTGACTCCAGCAGTGGTGTGAGCTGCCCAGCTGTCCCACCCCCCAAGCAAATCTGGTTGGCTGGCTGATGATGTCATCTTAGGGGTATCTTTCACAATCTTATCTGTCAAGAACAACAATCAATTTAGTTTCAGGTTCTTAAGATACTGTAGTGATTTAAGATTAAGCTTTGTAAGTTATGAGGAGGCGCCCTGACCACAGGGATAAAAAAAAAAAAAAAAAAAGATGGACTTACTGAGGTTGAAGAGGCTGGTGTTAGAAACAGGGGTGGGGTTACTGTGAGCCGAGCTAAATCCGCTGGTTGCCGAACTATCAGAGCCCAACAAGTCTCCAAACAGATCTGGTCCAGAGGCCTGTCGAGATGAACTGACGCTGGAGCCAACACCAGAGCCGGACCCCATCCCGAATGGATCAAACAGATCACTCATAGCTGCAGCACAAATACATAAGAAGGGAAAAATAAAAGTAAGCTTTTTATATTAATGCATCCAGCACCTATAAAGTGTTTTCCATTACGTTTCGAATCTGGTGTGGCTCCACTGGTTGGCTCACTGAAAAACAAATCTTCCTGCCCTGCCCCTGTCTGACCAGCAGGAGGCGCAAACAAGTCATTGAGGAGGTCACTGTTGCTAGAAGCAGCTTTTAGTCCTCCCTCGTCTCCTTGATTTGGAACTTGGGAGGAGATTGAGGACATGGCAGAAGGATCAGGATCACAGTTCAACCCCAAGAGGTCAGCTGTGTCACTACGAGAAGGTTCTCCAGGTGCAGGAGGTGGTGTCTGGACAAAAAGACAGAAATTATTAAAAGAGAGGAGGGGGTGCACTCTGGGTCTGTTTCACAGCACTGACAGAATGCACATGAAAGGTTATAAAGTATAAATTTCATAAGAACATAGTCAACAACCCAAGACTTTCTGCACCTGGAAATCAGCATCAAACAGCTGTTCACTGTGGTCTCGTGATAAAGCTTCCATACTGGGGGCAGAAAAGGACTCCCCCTCTGACTGATCACTCATGTCCTCCTGATCATTCAGGGATCCTCCTCCTTGGCTGTCTGAGGCATCATAAAAGTGCTGATGATCTATAAATACAAAAAATAAAGTTATTGTGCCGTCTGTTAAATTAAAAATGTTACATAGTGTTTTAGAGTTCCATTTGATTTACTTTGGAAACATACAGACAAATAACAAAATAAGAGCCTTTCTCTTTCTCCGTTACAAATATTAATAGGAATCGTAAAGCTTTACAAATAAAAAAATATACTGCCAATGAAATAGTAAAGCCCAAAAAAAAAACCTGCCTTCCCAATCAAGCGTTTGGAAGAAGTTGCTGGCACTGGCATCGTTGCTCGCAGGAGATTCTGGTTCTGTTGTGTTGAAACCTTCTGGGGTCTGAGCAGGTGCGGTAGTCTCCGACTCATAAAATGCAGAAGAACCAGGCTGACGAGGCAGCTCGGGCTTACCTGCAGTGATTACATGTTCACTTCATACGTGCAAGCAGCTTGGTCTTGTGAAAAGAACGATACTTCTTGTATAAAAAATGTGACTTGACAACATGTTAGTACAAGTGAACAGAAAAAAATCTGAGGTCATACTAATGATGATCCAAAATGTAAAAAAAGAGAGAAATAAGAAAGAGATGGATCAAACATGATAAAAAAAAAAAAAAAACACCTACAGACACCTACCAAATTTACTGAGGATCTCCTGCTGCTCATCACGAGATGAGAAGAGTATTTTTGGATTAAGGCCCTTGGTTTGAAAGCCCTCCCATGGAGCACTCCTCGTATTGGGCTTGTCCCTGGGTTCAACCTCAATGTCCAAGTTCACCTGGAACAAGTCTGGATATTTCTCCTGGATGTCACAGGCGTCCAAGTCGTACCTGAGAGCACAGCAGGTAGACAGGAGAGAAAACATTATGAAGAACAAACACTAAAACAAGATATCTCACCCCTGATAAAAATGCATTACTTCAAGACGTGTTAGTAACAATCAATAACCGCATCAATGATCACGTTTGCAACATGTATTAGTTGGAGACAGAATCCATACTTGGCAAACTTGACAGTAGTTGCATTTCTTGGCACAAAACCAGTGTGAAACTGGATCTGAAACATTTTCATGGATGCCATCTATAAAAGAAGAAAAATACAAGATTTAATTCATCAGTTGCTCTTATTCATCTTCACTCTTCTTTAAAATTCTGCAACTGACTTATACGTTCTACTTATAATAGAGATATCAACTAGACGACTCAAAATAAAGCAGTGCAACATTATATTAGCACGTTCCTAAAAATGTTAATGTTCATGGTTGAACTGACGTTTAGTGACAATCAGGCTTGTGAGTGTTTGTACCTTTGCCTGCAGACGCCCACCCAGAGTTGATCTTGCATGATAGATCACCACCAGGACATCTCCTTGGACTGTAACATTGAGGGGAATCTCTGCCTGGCCATCTTCCATCTTAAAATCCCTGAAGAGAAAGAGAGAATGACTGAATGGAAAAGAAATATTTCAGATTGGTTAAATTAGAGGAAGGCTGATGGGTTAAACTTACTTCATCCTGTCATACTCCTGTGACGTGGTGAGGACTCTTTCATCTCCAACGTAAACTTCACAGAACGGCCTGCACCCATTACGCTGCTTATTGAACAGCGGTACAGGCGTCATGATGATGGAACGAATAACCACAGGTTTGCTATGAGGGATGATGGGCTCCTCTGCCATCATGTCACACATATACTCTATGTACCTGTAAGCAAAAGTGAAACAATCAGAGCCGTATTGTTTGAATCAATAAATATATCAATGTAAAAAAAAAAAAAAAAAAAAGTAAAAACTGATGCGATTTGGTGAGAAATTTCCTGACTTTGATCAATCCCACAAAATAATAGTCTTTTATAAAACTTTAGTTTTTACCTTTTGTGTGAGGGTGCTATGCCAGGAGGGCAGCGTTTCATTGAGAACATGTAGACGGCAGCCTCAGCTGTGGTGAAAAGACGGCAGAAACACAGGAAAGAACAAACTGCCACTGCTGATGCTGCTCGGCCATCCTGCAGAAGAAAAGTTGATGCAAACTCCATTTGCATTGGACCTTTGTTTTATAATCTCTTAGTTACACACAGAAGCTCTGGCGAGGCGTGAATGCTCGCACAATTTGTGTAAGCTGTACTGAAAACTGCATTCAGCTTGGAAGAAATTAGTCCGTCACCTCTCATGAACACGCTCGGTGAAGCAGCATACTTACTAGACAGTGTACTATACAGATGTTCCTCTGGTCCTGCTTGAGCCACTGATGCATGTTTTTGCAAACATTGTAGAGACTGCGGAGGTTGGGAGCACGTCGCACCTGCCAGTTACACTCTGAAACCTGCACACGCACACAATACAAAGATCTTCACCCCCATTGATCGTTACAACACAGTTACAGCTGCAGCTGTTTTCAATAACAACCCAACATCTGGACATTAGGCTACAATAAACGACTGTATGACAAAGGCAAAGTAACATATTAATACCGGTAACTACAACCGAGTACCATATTTTTTGGACTATAAGGCGCACTTAAGAATAAATGGTGAGCCTTATAATCTGGTGCACCTCATCTATTCATTGTGGTTGTGCTTCTTGACCTTGAACTGATTTTATGTGGTGCACGGCGCTCAAAAATCTGTCAAAATGTTTTAGTTTTACTTAATGCGCCTTATAATCCAGTGCGACTTATAGTCTGAAAAATATGGTATAAAAACAAACTCACACTGCTATGTGTACACACCAATATACACTTCTTACCCTGTTGTGGAACCGAGAGGGCCTGTAAGATCGTTTAGAGAGGTTGTATACAGCATAGTGGCCAGCGTGACGCGAGTCCAGAAACAGACGAACGTCCTCGATGTTATTCTTTATGGCCGACTCCACCCCTTCTGCTGGGAAAGACATGACTACACACAAAAACACAGATATTTGTTACATCAAAGGTTTCTCTGGCTAAAAATATGTCACATAGCTCTCAGTTGAAATAGTTGTTATTAAATTATTTATTTACTGATAACAAAAGAGCACAACGATGTTCATAAAACAGTGGAAGAATGTCAAGGTTTTTCTACCTGCTATTCTGGACGTGATGTAAGAAATATCCAGATCGCCTTTAGCATAGCTACAGAAACAAAATAATATATACACTCAGAAAAGATGCCAAGCACATCACACAGGGCAAAAATCATAACAGCAATGACTGAAGAAAAAATGTATAGTTGCTTATCTAAGATTAATTAATCTAATGTCGAAGGGTGATAGAACAAACAAAATAAAAGGGTAAGTCTTACAATATATAACTGAAACCCTGATTCTAAGGGTTATCCTATAATTTAGAAAATTATGACCATTTTCCCCTCTTCATCTTTCTATTGAATCTTCAATGCACAAGCATTTTGCAGAAGTCACATTACAGCTAAAAGTTGCTTTCTATTGGGAAATATTGTTAGCTAAAAGAGCAGTCAGACTTTATACAATTCTATAGCAAAAACAAACATAATAGTACATCACTAGAAGAAAACAACACAGTTCATTGGTAAATTTAGCAGAGGAAGCAGAAAAAGAGAGCCATCTATGCTACTGACAGCAAAATGAACTGCATGGAATTATTGCACACAGGTGATGCTGGTTAAACACAGATGAAGGCAAAATGGAGCTTTAATGACAGATGGAGCATGAATTCAACTTTTAATAAATATAGCGTATTCATTCGCTCCTTCATAAATCAACCATTCATACAGTTGAGCAGCTTGATCTTCATTATGGGATTCATAAAGTTACTTTTTGGCATATTAAGTTATTTCCAATGAAACCTGCCTCAACATCTCTTGTATATAGACCAGTCAGTTTATATGTCTACAAAAAAAAGTGTGTTCAGTGCATAAAAACAACCCCATTAGTGGGCAGGATACAAATAAAATGCTGATGACAGACTGTACTACTGTACTTTTTTCTGTCCAGAAAATGTTTTGTTTATAGCTTTTTTTAAGTAATAGCTCCTGTCTTTGCTTCCTATTTCTTTTTACAGATAATTGTCGCTGGCATCTTTGACAGCAATAAATAAATAAATACAAACAAACCAGAAAGCTACTTAACATTTTTAGGGAAAATATATTCAGTTCTGAAACCATATACTGTTGTTTTAAAGACTTCCTGGTTACATATTCCCAAAGACCTGATGTAACTTTTAAACTTGTCCAGAGCCTAACAGGTAAAAAAAAAAATACAGAAAAGTAAAGTCAGTAAAAGTTTATATAAGTTAAAGATTTCCAAACAATTGCACCCTTAGTTATGATTTAGTTTATAATTTTATGTCCATGAAACATGAGAAAATGAGCAATAAATTTCTAGCTACATTAATATGTTTACAAGATAATTTTGAAAGTAATGCGAGTCATACATTGTCTTTAGTTAAATAAAGATTATTTACTGTACGTCAGTGTATTTTTCCCTCTACTAGATTACAAGGCTGGTGAAATGTAGCATCAGACTGAGCTGCAACACAGGAGCCTCCAAAATGTCTTGTACTGGTTTAATGACCGTTTGAATTGTTAAAATATTCAAATTTTCTCTCAAAATAGTCAGATTCGTTGCAGGTGTCTCAAATCTTTTTTAATGTGAGTGTCTTAAACCAGTGGCTGTATTTTGACACCTGCAGCGAGACTCTCCTCTGACAGAAAACATCCAAGTCTACAGTCCTGGATGTCTTGGTCTAAAAACCATGCTGATGATAATTATTGAAAAACTGAAACAAATCACCCAACTTCATCTCTTCAAGTTTACTACATTAGATGATATCATAAATGTGGTCAATATTGGTTGCAAACAGTCAGTGAGAATGCAACTGCAAAATAGCCTTATTTTGCAAACCTATGTAATCAACAGATGAACAGTTGCAACCCAATACAATTTCACCTTTTTGAACAAAGGAACAACCTGTTTATGAGCATGTGCATAAAACATTGTAATAACGAGAGTACCCTTCTAAGCTACACAACAGAGATGGGTAAAATAACTGGGATTATTAGATTTAATCAAGATATCAAAAATGGTTACCAGACACGTCAGCGGTGTACATCTGGTAAATACGTTTAAATCATTTCACCCATAAATTACGCCCATCTGCACATTCACAGCCGGCTCAGCACTCATCCAGCTGAAGTATCGAGTGATGTTAGAATTATAAAGCTGTGATGACAGACACAGCACGACAAAACGTTTTAGTACGCGTTTCTCCCTCTAAATCAAACACATGCTACAGAACACAGAGCAACGCAAGGGCAGACAAATGTCCCCCACCCATAATTACCTCGGGTTGCTAGGTGATGTACACATAGTGGGACCATGAAGGATTGGGACAGAGAAAAGACAACAAAAAATAAACAACAAAACAAATGGAGCAAACTGATGATAGAAAAAGGAAATTAAATACTAAAACTATAAAAATAGGTAAAATTGTTTATTAAAAAGAAGAGTTGAATATTTTTAACCTGTCTGTAATGCAAAGAATCACCGTCAAGGTCACCTGTTGCTGCTACAAACTATTACTCTCAGAATACTGAATCTTAATTTTATACCATTTGTAGAAACCTGCTAAGTATCTGAGTGAAAAATAAAACTCAAATTCAGAAAAGCAAGCTACATGTAAATTTAAAGTGAAATGTGGGGCCAGAGATGAAATGATTGTAATTAATATATA